TGAATGAAAAACGGTTTACACACGACTCACAACTGATGACGTTCGAACATTTCCGGAACAAGTGCTTCACTGGCGGGTTTTGTTCGAACCACACCGCTGTAAATGCTTCACCTACGTACTACAAATACAAATAATCGCCAACAGAACTTAAACACCTAACCTAACCTATGCCTATATATACACAATATGCTAGTATAATATTAATTTATATACGAGAAAATTCCTGTTGTGAATAAACAGCATGTACAAATTGATGATTGCGTCTGTTGGGTCGACCGCTGGATGGAAAGAACGTATGGATGGATGGATGGAACGTATGGATGGATGGATGGAACGTATGGATGGATGGATGGAACGTATGGATGGAAAGTCGAGGACGGGTTGGAAGAGAACGTAGACCACTGTACTACAATAGAAATATGATTGTAAATTGAAGGATTATTTTATATTTATCTGTATTAATATAATTGATTCTCATTGTTCATTTCTCCTTTTCAATCGTGTATGGAGTCCGAATTTGTATTATGCTCAGTATTTATGAAGTAAGACAAGTATATAATACTCAATGGGCTCCCGCCATTCACCCATCCAGGCAGTGATAGTCTAGCGCACGCGCGCGCACACAGTCACAGTCTAGTAGCTGAGTGGACAGCGCTCAGTACTCGTATTTCGTGGCCCGGGTTAGATTCCCGGACCAGGCAGAAACAAATGGGCAAAGTTTCTTTCACCCTGATGCCCCTGTTACCTAGCTTCCTGGGTGTGTGTGTGGGGGGGGGGGGGAGGATAGTTAGTAGTTAGTTGCTGTTGATTGATTGACAGTTGAGAGGCGGGCCGAAAGAGCAGAACTCACTCACTCTCTCACACACTCATAGTTTCCTATATTAACGTGTACTAAAGGTTTGAATTATTGTATTCTACTGCATTATGAAGAACAGCGGTATATGTATGCGCGCGCATTATTCGCAGTTTGGCCTACATAGTTATAATATTGGTGTGTGGTGGTGTGTGTGTAATGTTGGCACGCTTGGAGAAGGTGTGTAGCGTTGGCACGCATGGACTGGGAAAATGTATATGTTTATCACTCAGAATGTTCGGTAACATGTTTATTGATTGTTATATGTCTATATATGTATGAACACGTGGTGAATAGCTTGAGCTACCTCATTCCTTAGTGTGTATTTTACCTCGATAAACTAATTTAAGTTTCAATTCAGTGGAGTGGGTTAATCGTACGTCTGGCCGGGCGTGCAGTCTGGAATATACACGGATGATGACTCACAGATCACCAGTCTCTCTCGGACTATCGAAGGTGGCGGGGTTCGACCCCTTCGAATTACATTTTGATGACTGGAGCTCAGTACATACTGACCTCTGTACAAATATTAGTACATACAAGTGACACTGTAACAGTCGTTGACTTGTACATTTAGTTACCTGTTATAAACACGTTAACTTGCATCTTATAATAAGAATGTTGATTTGATTTATGAAACACAACCTGGCAGGCTACTGTCACTTGTTTCCGGATGGGGGGGGGGGACTCCTTCGTCCTCCCCCCTCCCCCAGAAGACCAAACATGTCGCGCTGCGGAAAAATGCTCTTAAATACCAAGGGCCAGATTCACGAAGCAGTTACGCACGTACTTACGAACGTGTACATCTTTCCTCAATCTTTGGCGGCTTTGGTTACATTTATTAAACAGTTTACAAGCATGAAACCTTCTCAATCAACTGTTGTTATTGTTATAAACAGCCTCCTGGTGCTTCGGAGTTCATTAACTGTTTAATAATTGTAAACAAAGCCGCCAAAGATTGAGAAAAGATGTGCAGGTTCGTTAGTGCTTGCGTAACTGCTTCGTGAATCTGGCGCCAGGCTGGCTGAAGCTAGGCGGCCGGGTCCCGAGCCAGCGTCGGCGAAGCGAGGACTGCTTTCCTCTTGGGATGTGGAGTCTTCTTTCTTCTAAGAAGCTGAAGTTTTCTTCTGTGAAGCTGGAGTCTTCATTCTTCTGTCATCTGTCTTCTACGACGGTCTGCTTTCGAAGCTTGCAGGGATTCCACCACTTATAAACGAGCAAAACTAGGTCCCCATCCCCCCTAAAGAGGGGGGAAGAAGGCTACTGCCTTCAGAAGGTCTCAGTTCTGCATCTTCTTGCTGCTATGTCTTCTTTCTTCTGTTTGTTCAGGCTTCGTGTAGTCATTTGATGTTCATTTTTGTACTGGACGTAGTCGCTGGGGAAAAATTTGGCTGCCGGTGTGGGTTCATCACATGCCGCGAAGATTGTCATTGTCAGTCTCGCACTTCACAGTAGTTCCTGGATTACACTGTAAGTATTCCACTGTTGTTTTAGATTTAGCTACTCAGAACGAAGTGCCCATGTAGCATGGGCTATGGTGAGCCCGTGTTTTCCACATATTTCCACGAAGTATTCCTCATACTTCGTGTTATATATACGGCTGCAGGCGATGAGTCACAATAACGTGGCTGAAGTATGTTGACCAGACACACACACTAGAAATTGAAGAGACGACGACGTTTCGGTCCGTCCTGGACCATTCTCAAGACAATCGACTTGAGAATGGTCCAGGACGGACCGAAACGTCGTCGTCTCTTCAATTTCTAGTGTGTGGTCTGGTCAACATATACGGCTGGTGAGACGTTTGAATGCAGGAGATCCATATGTAGTGTTGCCATGTTGCTGATACAATTTGATTCCTGCTGGAGAATCAATAACCGCTGAGCCTGGGTGTGGTGAGTGTGTTTGTGTCGACAGAGGCAGTAGAGTCGTCCTCAAAAGGCAGGTTAAGGCGGGCGATTTAAAGTGGCAGTTTGCAGAGGTAATGTAGGAGCCGTAGCTGTAGCAGGTTGCAGAGGGTGGGCGTCAGCAGACAGGAGATCTGACAGTGCCACTGGAGAGATGGTGATCTCAGAGGCTGAAGTAGTAGCGGTGGCAGCGGCTGGGATTGTGGTTGTGAAGAGTTCCTCAGGAACATTAAATGCTGGGAGACCATTGACAGCGTATAGGATGTTTAGCATTCGTGCGAATTCCTTGCAGTTCATGCCTGACATCATTTCAGCCAGGCGGATGAGTCCGAAGATCTATGATCGACGTTGGGTGACGCCAACTGGTGTGGTGAAGGCTGGCTGGTTCATTGGCCGGAGAGAGGTTGTGGCTGTTGCGGCTGAGTCGAAGATTGGTTGGCAGACTGGGAGCGAGGTCCCCCATTGACGTGCTGGCTGTGCAGAAGCTCCGCCCCCACCCGGGAGCTCTGGGAAGTTGGCGGTCTACACGTTGAATGTTGTTGATTCACGGCGAGTGGTGTTGACCTTCCTGGCGTCAGACATCCTCTGTGTTTCTGCAAGTCTTCGGGGGCACTCAGCAGAGACGGCAGTGTGGTCACCTTGGCAGAGACGGCATCGGAGGAAGTTGTTGGTGCATCTTTTGAAGTGGTGATTCTCGACGCACTTGCTGCACCGTTGGGCTGGAGACGACCACTTTTTCGTGAAGTGCTCGTAGCTATAGCACTTATAGCATTGACGAAGTTGGTAGTAGTATTCCTTGCTGATCTGTCGGGGAGTGTAAGCGAGGCCAAAGCACCGGAAGCCGTTGGTAGTAGCAAGGGTAGCTTCCCCAGGCGACGTGAAGGTGACCTTCATGGTGGAGAGGTGGCTGTCCTGCACAGGAATGACCTGTACAGCGACAGCAGTCAATGAAGGGTTCTGTTTATTTAGGCTGGTGGCGACGTCGGTGGCAGCTTTTTCTGAGTGTAGGGAGCTGGCTGTCCGGACAAGCACCGTCTTGGCTGCGAGGTAGTGTCGTGGTGGGGTGAGGATCATGTGCACCTCTTCAAGAGCAGTAAGGTTTTCGGGGTCTGGACGGCTGCGGCCCTGCTGAGCAGCAGTTGAGGGCCCTTATCGTCGACGACGACGTCCAGCGGTGCAACACTGGTTTTGGTGTTGATCAAGTCGAAGATCTCTGACCGGGTAAGGGTCCGGTCCTCTCTAAATCGTACCTTGATCCGGTAGATCACGGTAACTCTTGTCGTTGCTGCCCAATGTTTGCCCACCCGGCAGTGCTGGGTGCAAGAGAGCCTTGTCTAGAGAGTTGCACTTTCCTTAAGAGGTCTCCCGTCTCTCACCGGTATAGTGCACTGGATCAGGGTGGGGGGTCTGACCGCCTAAAGCAAAGTGCTCGAACGATGCAATGAATGAATGAATACTCGAGCATTAGGGAGGGGAAGCACGCTGTAGGGGGCAGGGAACCCCCCTCACCACGTGAGCATTAGGGAGGGGGAGCACGCTGTAGGGGGCGGGGAGCACTCTGTAGGGGGCAGGGACCCCCCATCCTCACCACGTGAGCATTAGGGAGGGGGAGCACGCTGTAGGGGGCGGAGAGCACGCTGTAGGGGGCAGGGACCCCCCCCTCACCACGTGAGCATTAGGGAGGGGGAGCACGCTGTAGGGGGCGGGGAGCACGCTGTAGGGGGCAGGGACCCCCCCCCCCTCACCACGTGAGCATTAGGGAGGGGGAGCACGCTGTAGGGGGCGGGGAGCACGCTGTAGGGGGCAGGGACCCCCCCCCCCCTCACCACGTGAGCATTAGGGAGGGGGAGCCCACTGTCGAGGACTTGTTCTTTATTTTTGCCGCCAGCGGCCGCTGTTTATTTTCGTAATGTAACCCACATTACCTGTTGCATATTTACATGTACGCTCCCCCCCTCCCTTACCCTTTACGTTTGATTATAATACCATTACTGGTAAACTTGCACTGAACCTGTGTGTATAACAACGTAATATTAGACATTTGAGCCATGTCAACTAGGCAACACTTTGATTACAGATATAAACACAGGATACGCCAGACTTGCCGTGTAGGGCTGCTGGATAAATGCCCGTGTACCTAAATATGATATAAACAGTTGAGACGCATCTTGGTCGTCTTTGTACTGAAACACAAGCTATAGTTGACTACTATAGTCCATAGAAATAATAATTCTCCGAGTATCAGCAGATTTTGGTAAGTTTTTATGATCATAGTCTTGTAGAATTAAAATACAAATTAAAAAGTGCCTTTATTCGCCAAACTGGTTATAGCATTGTTGTAATCATACAGGAACAAAGGTACTTAAATTTAACTAATTGCATTGGATTGACTAGTTGTGAGAAGCCAGGCGGACACGTTATAGTTTGTATGAAGCCAGTTGATGTCTGAAGTCCCGCGATGATGACGTCACCGGTGTTGTGTTGAGGGGGCGACAGGCTCCCCGCCAGGGGGGCGGCAGCCCACTTTATCAGCGCCACTACTGGTTGTCCTCACAACAAATGTCTTCCAACTCTGAAATAAGAAACATTTTTAGTTACGTCTATATAATAGGTTGCAACGGTTGACCCAATTATTGTTGTTGTTGGCGTGATTAATAAGTGTTAATGTTGCAGTTAAATTTTCTTGTTTTGTTTCCAAAAGTGCACAGAAAGCAACAGCTTGGCTTCACTGCAAGCTGGCACCGAGAGATGACACGAGTGACGGTCTGACAGCTGTTGTACAAGCAAGTCAGTCTCGACGTTTGGGTCACTGTTAATGTTACCGACACTAAGGTGGTCGTCTTAGTAACGAGCAGACGAGGAGGAAGTTGTGACAAATCTCACATCAAATACACCGCACGCACCGCAAGGCGACCACACCGCAAGGCGACCACACCGCACCCACCGCAAAGCGACCACACCGCAAAGCGACCACACCCACCAGATAACTGGGACTTCATTAAGTATATTTTCTGTGGCTCATTGAAAAACTGCTGTACATCAGTTTGTAGGTTTGCCGTGTCCTCAATATTGTCTACTCTCATGAATATCATAGTGTCATGTGCAGAGGATGAAACGGCACTGTAGTTTTGTATTTATCAATGTCCGATATAAAGATAAGATATGAAGATAAGAAAAAGTATAAAAGCAAGCACAGTTAAGTACCTTGGGGGACTGGGCGTTTCTTTACGATGGATGATCCGGATTTTATTTTGATTTGCACACTAGGTTTTGTTAGGAAATGAAAAATCCATCTTCCTATCTTTCCATTTATCATTTTGTGTACAATAACACCATCTTGAGGTTATCTTGAGATGATTTCGGGGCTTTTTAGTGTCCCCGCGGCCCGGTCCTCGACCAGGCCTCCATCCCTAGGAAGCAGCCCGTGACAGCTGACTAACACCCAGGTACCTATTTTAACCCGGGACCACAGGATCACAAGTCCAGTGTGCTGTACGCTCGGCCGACCGGCTCCCCGGTCGATAAGATAAGAGTGATCATGGTCGTGCATGGACACACTTATCGAACACGCTCTCGAAATCTGTGAAAATTACATCAGCGCGTTTTGCTTCCATGGTACCCAAGACCATTGTCATAGTGGACAACTGGTTGTGTGAGAGGTGAAGGGGCGCCCTGTTGTGAGTCAAGGTTGTCCAGGGTTATGTACACGCTGGGATTCAGTGTCTCTCTTGTGATCCTGAGACCTGGCTCATCTGCTTCAAAAATTTCTAGTTTTCATGCATTAAGTAATTTTCTGTTTCACTTAAATGTGCGATAATAGAAGACCAGTGCTCTATTTCTTGGTTAAATAGAGGTGTTGGTATTTATTATCTATTTAGTATTTAGTATTTATATATATTTAATATATAGTATAAATTGGTATTTAGTATCTTGGTATTTAGAAGTGTTGGAATAATAGTTTACTGTGTAATTGTGTTTATAAATATGTATTGATAATTTATATTATTTGTTGTATAGGATTTGTTGCATTTCTCTTTGATTGCCATAATTTTTAGCACATTATATTAAGAAAAATAAGATTAAGTTTACATCAAATTGATTTTTGTGGAGCTTAACTTGATTCATATGTTCATAAATCGAGATTTTGGGGTTTTCGCGGGAAGAACTAAAGTCCTAAAATATGTCGCTAATAATAGGACTCCCAAGCACTCATTACAAAGATAAAACATTTTAAGACAATTGTTGTTTAAACACTCGTAGTGTATAACTCACCGCAGCACTTGGCCTCCAACTCGTCCCTGTATGCCAGCAGTTGACGCACTCGTTCACTCGTAGCCTCTTTCTCCTCCTTCAGGAGCGACACGTGGTCTTCCTGCGCGGTTAACGCCATCTCCAGGCCTCTCTTCCTCGCCTTCATCGTCTCGCGCCTTTCCCTAGCGTAAACAGACCTTCGACGCTTCTCTTCCCGGAGCGGGTCCTCTTGTGGGGGTTTCTGGTGCCACTTGGTTGTCTTCCCGAAGATAGAGGGTCCGGGGAGACTCCCGAAGTGGAACGCGGGCCCTCCCGGGGTCCTCCCGTGGAGCTCGACCCCAGCTGGCTGAAAATATGAGGACACTGGCAGCTGGCCTGGTCCAGCTGGTGTTCCGTTGGTACCGAAGGTTGTGGGCACCCACTCCAGCTGATGGTTGGTGAATCCACTTGAAATGTTGTCATAGGTAAGTCCTGTTTCCTGGGTATAGCTGTGTGCGTGTCCTGCACCTGACTCTGTGCCACAGAAGGATGGCGGCATCGACAATCCTGCAGCAGACTCCGTGCCACTGAAGGATGGTTGCATCGACAATTCTGGAGCAGACTCCGTGCCACAGAAGGATGGCTGCATCGACAATCCTGCAGCAGACTCTGTGCCACTGAAGGATGGCGGCATCGACAATCCTGCACCTGACTCTGTGCCACAGAAGGATGGCGGCATCGACAATCCTGCAGCAGACTCCGTGCCACTGAAGGATGGTTGCATCGACAATTCTGAGCAGACTCCGTGCCACAGAAGGATGGCTGCATCGACAATCCTGCAGCAGACTCTGTGCCACTGAAGGATGGCGGCATCGACAATCCTGCACCTGACTCTGTGCCACAGAAGGATGGCGGCATCGACAATCCTGCAGCAGACTCCGTGCCACTGAAGGATGGTTGCATCGACAATTCTGGAGCAGACTCCGTGCCACAGAAGGATGGCTGCATCGACAATCCTGCAGCAGACTCTGTGCCACTGAAGGATGGCGGCATCGACAATCCTGCAGCAGACTCCGTGCCACAGAAGGATGGTTGCATCGACAATCCTGCAGCAGACTCCGTGTCACAGAAGGATGGCTGCATCGACAATCCTGCAGCAGATTCTGTGCCACAGAAGGATGGCTGCATCGACAATCCTGCAGCAGACTCTGTGCCACTGAAGGATGGCTGGACCAACAATCCTGCAGCAGGCTCCGTCCCACAGAAGGATGGCGGAGAGGACAGTGGTGCAGGCAGCAATGTACAGCTTCTGTCAGAGGGCCACCAGGCTTGTGAGTATTGGGTATGGGCTACACACCCGGTGCTCTGCGACAACAGGGGCAGGCTCTGAAGGCTAAGAGCGTCTTCGTGACCTGTCCGAGGAGTGCCAAGGGCGTCGTCCTCTTCGGCGGATCTCCGCTGACCGCGCGATGGGAACATGGTACAGTAAGGGGACAACAATCTACCCAAAGTGGTGGAGAGTTCCCAGTTAGCTTGGTGTGCGTGACCAAGTGCCTCAAGCTCAGTCAGAACATCGTATCTTATATAGCATCGATATTTACGTTGCCTGCGGAACATCCTATTGCATCTTGAGCCTTGAGGATCTTAGAGGTCCGTTTAAAAGCTTAGCTGCATATTGTCAGTCAGTCGGTTTTGTTCAAGCACGAGTTTTTCCCGTGAAAAGCTCGCGTTTTGCTACGGAGTCGAGGCGGCATCCGGTCTGGGAATACGTTTCATAATCTAACATTTACGGACATGAATTCCCTCGCTATGCATGTGTTCTCCCTTAGCTGGTCGAGAACCGGGCCGCAGGGACGCTAAGCCCAGAAGTTATGGCAAGATAACCGCAAGCTAACGTATGTACGATGTCTTTTTAGCTTGAATACAAGGGGATTTAACTTGTGATTCTGTTCTTGTTTTGTAATGTGCGATTCATTTTGTTGTGGATTTGTTGACTGCTTGTGAAATGTAGGCTTAAGCTTGTAAAGTTTCCTTGTATATTCAATGTACGACAACTTGTGGTCTTTAAATGAAGGTTTTTGCGTGTTTTAGTGCTGATGAGGAGTTAGGTTTGGTAGAGACGACCACACCACTGGTGAGAACCCAGGGGTCACACGGGTGACTCTGTAACTGTATAGTATCTGTGTGTGTGGGTTTCTGGCTCCCCCTGCCTGCCTGCCTGCCTGCCTGCCTGCTGCTCTGTGATGGTCTGTTTGTGTGAAGGGTGTTTTTGCAAGACTATTACTGGTGTGTGAGGGTGGTGGCGGTGGCAACCACCACGACCACCACCACGACCACCACCACCACCACCACGACCACCACCATCACCACCACGACCACCACGACCACCACCACCACGACCACCACCACCACGACCACCACCATCACCACCACGACCCACCACCACCACGACCACCACCATCACCACCACGACCACCACGACCACCATCACCACCACGACCACCACCATCACCACCACGACCACCACCATCACCACCACGACCACAGCCATCACCACCGAAGACGCTTGCACCAGTGACGACGTCTTCGTACCATCACCTTCCCACGACCACCACCATAACCACTATTTCCGCTTGTTACAACTTGTATCACCACCACGACCACCACGTATTACGTTACAACAGCCATCACCACCGAAGGTAACGCTTGCTTCAGTGATCATCGTCTTCGTACATGAAGTGTTGCAGCTTAGGTTCGTCTTAAGGACGTTTCCTCAACAGTCTTGTGATGTGACCTCATTAAGGTTAATGATGCATTCTTTTATAATACAAATAATTTTATTTGACAAAAGTTCATATGTTGCTGGAAAGATATGTACAGTATATATATTTGTTTCATTTGTTGCTTAAAATTATAAATATAATAATCACGATATTCAAAACATAGACCTGAGTGTATTATTAGAAATCACTTGATTCATTTTTTTTTGGTCTCAGAATCCAGATATTGTATGTATATTGTAGTTGTATGCTTCATACAAGTTCACAGGATCAATAGGTGACTAATGAAACTCTGAAGCTTGTAATAGGTCGCTCACGAATCTCCGAAGCTTGTAATTGGTCACTTAACAAAGCTCTGCAAAACTTTGGTCACTAAAAGCTCTGTAATAGGTCGTTCACGAGGCTCTTAAGTTTCATTTGATAGTTTTAACATTTTTACGAATTTATTTATTTATATCTTTTCCAAGTCCTCCAGGAGTGTGCAAGGTGGTGGCTCACTGACGTCACCGAGAGTACCGGAGGCCTGTTGGCTTCCAGGATGAGGATTCATCAAGTGTTTACGTGTCCAGGATGAGGATTCATCAAGTGTTTACGTGTCCACTTGCGAAACTTGTACATCTTTCCTCAGTCATTGCAGCTTAGTTCACATTTATGAAACAGTTTAAGCTCCGAAGGACTACGAAGTTGTCAGGTTGGCAGGCAGTTCATAGGGAGGTAGAGTCCAGTTGAGAGATGCACCATGTCAAGTTTTGCTTGCATCTGGGTCACCAAGTCTTCACGCTTGTGCTTCTCAGTCAGTAGTATCTTGATCTCCTCCTCCATGTTGTCGAGGGTCTGCTGGAGCTCCTCCACCCGTTGGGCGTTCCTCCGACGGTTCCTCACGGCCTTGATCGCCCGAAGTCTCTTCTTCTCCAGCTCCTGGTCGCTCTGCTCCGGCCACTCGTACACCTTCAGCTTACGTCCAGAGAGCGTGGCCGGCTGTTCGCTCTTTGAGAAGCCCGTATCGGCCGCCCACGGAGATGGGGAGTAATGCGGGGGACTCACAGCAGGCCAGCCTGCAGCAGCAGGCGCCTGCGACTGGTAACTGTTAATAGAATCGCTGTACAACTGCGACGGTGAAGCACCTTCTCCGGGAGTGTACAAGGGCGAAATCCAGTCACAGCTACGACCGCCAGATTTGCTCGTTTTATCAGAGGGCTGACATTGTGCTTGGCCGCAAGCCCTGGGCTCTGCCCTCGAGGGATGCCGACACACACCGACCGCGAACACCTCACGGTTTTCCAAGCTCCGATTTTCGTCATATTGGGAGTAGCGTCGGTCGCTGCGGGCAGCAGGAGTCGGAAGATTTGTTTCTTGAGAGCTTGGGAATCCACCGAGAGGAAGCATTAACGCGACTCTTGAGATTCTCGAGCGTGGACTAGAGCGCGTTGTCGTCCTCCACAGCGACGGGAGAGGTGTGTGGGGAAATGATGCCTCTCCTACCGCATATATACTTCAGCTGACACAACAGGGGAATTCTTTTACGGGGAGAATACCGAAGAAGTCCCCCGGCTTCAGCTCACGGTGTACTTGACGACAGGAAAAGGAAATAGTGCTCTACTGCCACTTGTAATCGGTAGCCCGGGGATGGGGAGGGGGGGGGGGGAGGGGGAACTCCCCTGAAGCTGGCACCCAGGGCGGGCGGGCGCATACCCCCTCCCCCCATGAGAGGGGGGCCTCACAGCTGAGTGGACAACGCTCGGGAGTCGTTGTCCTAAGGGCCCGGGCTCGATTCCCGACCGAGCCGGAGACAAATGGGCAATTTGCTGATGAGTCACAATAACAAGGTTGAAGAAATGTTTATCAAATCATACTAGAAGATGGGGAGACGACGACGTTTCGGTCCTTCCTAGACCATTATCAAGTCGATTGTGATGAGACGAGATTGATGATTGATGAAGATTAAGCCACCCAAGAGGTGGCACGAGCATGAATAGCCGGTAAGGGACTGAGACGATGGAGGCACGGGCAAGCGAGAGGCGAGGAGGAGGAAATCTTAGAGGAAGTTAAGCAAGGCGAAAGATAGGGAAGGGATAGGTGTAATAAAGGAGGTAGTAATAGGAGTAAGAATAGGAACGAAATAAAAATGACAAGAGAAAAAATGATAAGAGAAAAAAGAATGGATAGGCTTATGCATCATCTTCTTGAGATTATCTTGATGATTACGGGGATTAGCATCCCCTCGGCCCGGTCCTCGACCAGGCCTTCTTTTTGTTACACACCCCCAGGAAGCAGCCCGTAGCAGCTGTCTAACTCCCAGGTATCTATTTACTGCTAGGTGAAGAGGGGCATCAGGGTGAAAGAAACTCTGCCCATTTGTTTCCGCCTCCACCGGGGGATCGAAACCAGAACCTCAGGACTACGAATCCCGAGCGCTGTCCACTCGGCTGTCAGGCCCCCCTGCATGTATGTATAACCTAAGCCTAATTTTTCCTGAGGTGTGAGCTTGTATTAGGACATCATCTGCATATCCCACTTGTTGTGTTCCTTCCGGAAACTCAATATTTGCAATGGCGTTCATAAGAATGTTAAATAGTGTGGGGCTTAAGACTCCTCCTTGGCGGGGTCCCGAGTTCCATACTCACTGTTCTGGAGACTGCTCCGTTGAAGCAGACCTTGGCTTTCCTCCCTGTGAGGTAATCTTCAATCCATTTCATGAGTCTTCCCTTGACACCTATGCATGCAAGCTCGTCCAGGATCGCAATCCCTTGAGCTTTGTCGTAGGCTCCTTTAATGTCAACAAATACAGAGTACTTAGCTCTGTCATTAGCCAGGTAATTAGACAATTTGCTCCTGCCTATTTTGTGCAACAGTCGGTTTAGGATGATCATTTCACGCACCTTGCAAGTGCATGACATGAGACTGATAGGTCTGTAATTGCCAGGGTCATTGGGCTTCGGTATGACCCCCCCCCCCCTTCAGTAGCGTGTCCGGTTAGATGTGGCGATTCAGTTGCATTGAGAGGGAAAAATGTATGCTGTAGGAAGGAGGGGGGGGGGGACGGCTTTGTTACCCCCTACTAATACTGTGGTCCGGGTCAATCTACGGACGTACGGTTTAGCAGAAGGGAGACAATTCCCGAGGTCCAAAACGTGGTAGGGGGATAGTTGATCAGAGTGAGGGACATTGTATATATAACCCGGTACACCGTTGCACAGCTGCAGAGCTGAACCTCCACCAGACAGCTTGGGTCACTTCAGCGGTCCACGCCTTCACGCCCCACAATGACTGCCTTCGACGGCCATTCGTCCATGTTCGCAGAGTTTTCAGCAGTCGCTCCAATTGACGACTGCGACATTCTAAACGAAATTGATCTGGATCTGTTTGACAACCCAAGAAAAGTTGTCCACGAAACGCACAGCATCCACTATCCGGCCACCCTTTCCAGTGCTTATATGGGAAATCTTCACACAAAAATCGATTGTCATTCGCAAATTTTCGTGAGCCACTCCGGGCGCGCCAAAAAGGACACAGGCGCTGAGAGGACTAGTGGCGCTTTCCTCACGCCGACAACCAGTGCCGCAAGTTGGTCCAGTACATCTACCAGTGAGCGCGACTTAAACCAAGCCAGTTTTCCCCTGATCAACCCCCAGCTGCTGAAGCTGCCCAAAGCAAGTCGGAACAAGACCTATCAGTGGCCGAAACAGGACGATCCTCTCCTCGAGAGCGTGAGAGTTCGGGCACTAAAAGCCTTCAACAACAGAGAGAAACACGCACAGCGAGTGAGGGAACTCGTCGCCAAGCTCAACTGCAGAAATAATGAAATCCAGATGTTGCAACAAGATATAAAGGCTCTGGACCAGAAGATTGAGCACCTCCAGACTCAACTCCACCAGCTGTCACCTCTGGCACCAAACATGGCCACTTGAACACACTATACAGCCTCATCTTGGCTACAATATTACCCAATTGCACCAAGTTGCCAGTTCCTCCATGTATGGCGCCAAGGGACTATTATCATGGACACCCGAAGGATGCCATCAGTCTTAACACCAACATATTGCAAAATGTTATTAGCGTGTGTAGCCTCTTGAAAGCAACCCTACAATGAATTGGCCTGCAACGTTCATTGTGTAACGAACTAGTCCGGAGTGTTCATTGTGTAATTGTGTAACCAACTAGTCAGTAGTCTTAATTGTGTAATCAACTAGTCAGTAGTCTTCATTGTGTAACGAACTAGCCTGTAGCATTCACTAGCCATAAGAAACTAGTCAGTAACATTCACTAGCCATAAGAAACTAGTCAGTAACATTCACTAGCCATAAGAAACTAGTCAGTAACATTCACTAGCCATAATAAAACTCATTCCTGTTAAAACAATGTAGCAATAAAACATAAAATAAAAACGCACAGAATACAACAATGTATTTATCCCCTCGCATCACCTACATATATAAATACAACCATCTTGTATTTCAACATCATACATTCACCACATGAGGTACTCGGCGGTGCCCGGGTCTTTCCCAAAAAGGTTGCGCCATTAGGAGACGCTTCAACCTTAAAGGCAGGAAGTGCAATGTGAATGACTATTCAACTTCTAAAGACTGAACCTTTAACAAGCCGAGCAGCTAACTAGAGCTAAGGATTAGTAAACAGTTCCTCGTCCCCCTGGGGGAAGGGGAGCCAGATTATGATGATACAGGTGTTTTGAAATCGTACATGAAGTCACATGTATCTTTTTAAAGGTATGAGAAGCACATGTGTACCCTGGGATTATGAATATGGTGGGGGGGGGGGCATACCTGCTTGATGGGGTTCTGGGAGTTGTTCTACTCACCCTACTTCCCCTCTACTCTTCTACTCACCCTACTCCCCCTCTACTCTTCTACTCACCCTACTCCCCCTCTACTCTTCTACTCACCCTACTCCCCCTCTACTCTTCTACTCACCCTACTCTCCCTCTACTCTTCTACTCACTGACTTGTGGGAGTTTGGTCCACTAGTAGTGGATTGGACATTGATGAATCATGAGTAAGGGGGCGGGTACTGATGGATCATGAGTAGGGGGGGGGTGGGTATTGATGGATCATGAGTAGGGGGGGCGGGTATTGATGGATCATGAGTAGGAGGGGCGGGTATTGATGGATCATGAGTAGGAGGGGAGGGAATTGATGGATCACTTGAGTCTGAGAGCGGTATTAATGGCTCCAACTAGTGGACAAAGATCCAACTGATGTAGGATCAGTTGGACCCTACATCAGGACCAACCGATGTTGAGGAGAACCCCTCAACATCTCCGTTCCTGTCACTAGCTTCTGAGATATATAATATATTATATATTTTATATATCTCGGAAGCTTGTAACTGGAACTCAAAACTGCGTGGAAAATTAAAACGATTTCAGTAGCAATGTTGGACCGGAACGTGAATGTCGAGGGTTGGTGGAGCCACTGCGCTACGGAGAGAGAGAAATGAACTTGATCCCGGAAATGCAGAAAAGTCTCAATAACGTGACTGGAAAACTCCACCAACGCATTTGTGAAAGTGATAACGTTTCAGTCCGTTCTGGATCCTAACGTCACAACTTGATAACGGCGGTCGTGCGTCTTCCGGACACCATGCTAACACGGCGTTGTCAAGGTACGTCTCTCTCAGCCCCGCTCCAGTGCCAGGTAAGTCCACTACGGGCTCACCGTTGCCCGTGCTACTTGGACCATTTTGTTGCCAGTAGCTGAATCTACAACAATAATGGTACGTCTCCCTTCTCCATCCCGGGCCGGCATAGTGTTGGAAGCGCATTAGTTTTGGTCATAATGTTTGGCAACATAGAGAAGCGAGTGAGACATATAAACCTTGTAACCTCTAGCGTTACCGTCCCTGGAGTTCTCACCCCCTCACAAAATATTATGTTTTAAGTTGCCCGAACTTAACCAAACTTGAGGACGCAGGCATAGGAAGCGTGGTGGTTCGTTAGCCGCTATGATATGAAAACATTTTGTCCATTGCGGATTTCGACGTCAAATTGGTACGTATTATTCCAGAGTCCAGGTTGTACCCTCGCTGTTGAGACAGCTTTATGTAGTTTATCCACCAGTTGGAGCCATTAATACGGCTCTCAGGCTCTAGTGATCCATCTACATCCTCTCTCCCACTCGGCGCCCAGTAATCCATCAATACCCGCCCTCCCCTCCTACTCATGATCCATAAATACCCGTCCCCCCTACTCATGATCCATAAATACCCGCCCCCCCCTACTCATGATCCATCAATACCCGCCCCCCTCCCCTACTGATGATCCATCAGTACCCCCCCCCTACTGATGATCCGTCAGTACCCCCCCCCTACTGATGATCCATCAGTACCCGCCCCCCCCTACTCATGATCCATCAGTACCCGCCCCCCCCCCTACTCATGATCCATCAGTACCCGCCCCCCCCCCTACTCATGATCCATCAGTACCCGCCCCCCCCCCTACTCATGATCCATCAATGCCCAATCCAGTACAAGTGGACCAAACTTCCACAGTAGAGTAGAGTGAGTAGAAGAGTAGAGGGTGAGTAGAAGAGTAGAGGGTGAGTAGGGTGAGTAGAAGAGTAGAGGGTGAGTAGAAGAGTAGAGGGGGAGTAGGGTGAGGGAGTAGAAGAGTAGAGG